ACTCACTTGGTAGCCCAGGCTGGCCTCGAACTCACAGAGATCCACCTGGCTCTGCCTCCCGAGTGCTGGGATTAAAGGCGTGCGCCACCACCGCCTGGCTTGTTTTGTTGTTTTTCAAGACAGGATTTCTCTGTGTAACAGTCCTGGCTGTCTTGAAACTCGCTTTGTAGACCAGGCTGGCTTCAAACTCACAGAGATAGATCCTCCTGCCTCTGCCTCCCGAGTGCTGGCATTAAAGATGTGCACCACCATGCCTGGCTGCAATATTGTTTTGATCAATGAGGGTATATCATTTTCTAGTGTCACTGTGATAACCTGGTGACTGAAAATGACACAAACTCTGCTGGGGTGCAGTTTAGTAGAAGGTATGTACTCAGGGGTAGAGTATGTGCTTAGCATGGCACAAGGCCCCGAGTGTGATGTGCACGCACGCACGCACGCACGCACGCACGCACGCAGCTCTGGAAGCCAGAAGTTCAAAATGTGTCTCACTGAGTCAAGGTTCTGGTAGAGCAGTGTTCCTGGGGGTTCCAGGGAAAAATCATTTCCTTGACTCTTCTATCACCTAGAGCCCACTGCACCCCTTGGCTTGTGGCATCAAAGCCATTGATGGATAGAGTGATGGTTAAGTTTTGACTGTCAACTTGATTGAATTAATAAACACCTGGGACCTTCGTGAGTGTATCTATGGGGGCGTTTCTAGAGAGGATTAGCTGAGAGAAGACCCATTCTGAATTCGAACAGTCTTCAATCTCAGACTGAATGAAAGGGAACAGAAGAGAGAGCCATTCTCCGAAGTCCCCACTTTCTGCTTCCTGATGTCCAGTATGAGCCAGTCTCTGCCCACACAGCTGCCTGCTCCTCTTACTGACCCCCCACTTCAATAATGGACTCTATCCCCACAAGGGGCAAAATAGGCCTTTCTTGTCACGTGTTCAGTCACAGTGACAAGCGTGTGAGGAGGCTCACGCTGCCCACCTTACTCCTCTTCCCACCTCACTATTTCAGACAGGGCTCTCACTGAGTGTGGAACTTCACAGTTCAGGCGAGCTGGCTGGCCACCAAACTCCAGGAATCTACCTCTCTCCTCCTCATCACTGGGATTACAGATGCACACCCAGGTATTTATGGGTGCTAGAGGTCCGAAAGATGGAGCATTCAGACCCATCTCTCCAGCTCCCTGTTTTGTTTTGTTTGTTCATTTTGTTTTTGTTTGTTTGTTTTGAGACAGGGTCATATTCTGTAGCTAAGCTGGTTTTTTGTTTTGGAGCTGAGGACCTAACCCAGGGGCCTTGCACTTGCTAGGCAAGCGCTCTACCACTGAGCTAAATCCCCAGCCCCAGCCAAGCTGTTCTTAAATCCACTAATTAGATCAGGCTGGCCTCAAACTCATGACCCTCCTGCCTCAATCTCCCAAGTGCTGTTGAAAACATTTTTGGTTTTCATTTTTCTTTTGTAACTCAGGGGATCAAATCAGGGCCTTGCATATGCAGAAACTCTATTGAGCTACATCCAGTCTGAAATATGTAAACTGTAGGGAACCAACGAAGAGAAATAGCTCCTGTCTGTTGACATGCAGACTCTGTCCAGCAGAGACGCCATTGGCTTCCCCTGACTGCAGAAGAAGCCGCTAGGCTTCCATGATGTCCAAACTCCTGGTGCATAGCATCTGTCATTTGGATTTTCCTTTGAGTTAGTTTTTAACATCTTCTGCTTCTCTCAATAATGAATTAAGGAAGATATTTAAGATGTATCTGTTTTATATCTGAATGGGAACCATGATTTTACCTTTTGTAAAAAACGGTCCTTGAACATGGGCTGCTGTGTTAGTCTGACTTTTTGTAGAACGGCAATGTCTGAGAGGAACAGGTTAAACTAGGTATTATGGTTTAAATAGAGATGTCCTCCCTCCCTTTGGTGGTTTGAAAGGAAATGGCCCCCAAAGGGAATGGTTCTATTGGGAGGTGTGGCCTGTGTAGTGTGTAGGTGTGGTCTCATTGGAGGAAGTGAGTCACCGTGGAGGTGGGCTTTGAGGTCTCATACATGCTCAAGATACCACTATCCAGTGTCTCAGATAACTGCCTGTTGCTTGCAAGATGTAGGACTCTCAGCTGCCTCTCCAGCACCACGTCTGCCTGCACCCCACCATGTCCCACCATGATGATGATGGACTGAACCTCTGAACTGTAAGTGAGACACTCCAATGAAATGCTTTCCTTTGTAAGAGTTGCCGTGGTCATGGTGTCTCTTCACAGCAATAGAACCCTGACTGAGACACCCCTGCCACACATTTTGCATTTGAACATTTGTTTGGTCACCCAGTTGGCGACACCAACACCATTCTTTGTCATTGCTTGTTTTGTGTGTGTGTGTGTGTGTGTGTGTGTGTGTGTGTGTGTGTGTGTGTGCGCGCGCGCGCATGCGTGCAGAGGCTGAGGGAAGAGATCAATGTCAGGTGTCTACCTCAATCCCTCTCCACTTTATTTTTTGAGACAGGGTCTCTCACTAAACCTGGAACTCCGTAGGCTTGCTGGCCAGCCAGCCCTAGGGATCCTGCTGTCTCTGCCTCCCAGTGCTGAAATCATAGGCATGTACTGCTGTTTATAGCTTTTTATATGTGTGCTGGGGGTTGGAGCTCAGGTCCTCATTAACTGATTCATCTTCCCAGCCTCCATGACACAAGATGTGGAACATGTGGGGTTGGAGGCACAGCTGGAAGAAGTAGGTCACAGCTGGCAGAAGTAGGTCACTGAAGGCAAAGGCGGGCATCTGAGAGTGATAGCCTGGCCATACTGTTGACTTGCTCTGTTTCATGATCCACCAGATGTGAAGGAGCCATGATACAAGCCCTGCTGCCATGGGGACTGAGCCCCTCCAGCGGTCACAACTTCCTTGCTTTGGTACACCATGCCTTCTGAACTATAAGCCCGAATAAGTCGCTTCTGCGGGGACTTCATGGCGGGGATGAGAACAGTTAATATATGGGAGGAAAGACGACTTGATTCTGGGCTTCAGAGGCTGGCCCTGTTGCTTTGTGCATCGGAGAGGGGTTGGTTGAGAAAAGATGCTCATTTCACAACAGCTGGGGTTGAGAGAGCATGCCTGTGTTAGCAGCCTCTTCCCGTCCCCCACCCCCCAATTCCATCCCAGCCCTTAGCCTCTCGGTTGGTGCCGCCCACATTCCACTGGGGGAGAACTGAGGGGGGAGGGATGCCCTCACACCCAGGGTGTGCTCTCCTCACATCCTAGGCATCTCTCATTCCAGTCAACAGTTGAGATCAGACTACACAGCTGTCAGTGAGGCGCACCAAGAGGGATGAGACCCTGACTCAGTCCTTCTGCAGCCAGCGCCACCTCTGCTTTGAAGTTTCCAAAGCTTCTAGAGACACACCTGAAGTCACTCTGCGGTTGGCCTGTTTGAGTGGTGACGTTGGCAACTGCAGGGCCCAGTGGACTCATGTGGTAGAACAGTGACAGGCTGGAACCATCTGGAAATGAACAGTTCCCTGGGGGAACCTCAGTGGACAAACATAAGGCAAAGTAGACAGACTCTGAGTTCCTGCCCTCATCTGGCAAGTGACATAGCCTCTCCATGGACGTCATACAATTACTCATGGGTTGTTGCATAAAGGAAGCTCTGTGTGGTAGCAGACCTCTCACGTGGTGAGCCCTCAGGAAATGCTGGCTGCTCTCTCTCTCTTTTTTTTTTTTCATTTTATTTATTTATTTATTTATTTATTTATTTATTTATTTATTTATTTATTTATTTATTATCAGCTTGATACAGTACAAATTCTTATCCTAATAGTGAAATGGTTCACTGAAGCTTGCCTAGTGATTAAGTAAAACCAAAACTTATTATAAGCCACAGTCATCCTAGGGTCCCCCCTGCTATGTAGCCTCCCTGGATCTGTGGGTTGCAGTCTGATTGTTCTTTGCTAGTATCCACTTATGAGTGAGTACATACCATGTTTGTCCTTCTGGGTTTGGGTTACCTCACTCAGGATGATATTTTCTAGTTCCATCCATTTGCTTGCAAATTTCATGCTGTCATTGTTTTTCTCTGCTGAGTAGTACTCCACTGTGTATATGTACCACATTTTCTTAATCCATTCTTCAGTTGACGGACATCTAGGTTGTTTCCAGGTTCTGGCTATTACAAATAGTGCTTCTATGAACATAGTTGAGCATGTATCTTTGTGGTATGATTGAGCATTCCTTGGGTATATGCCCAAGAGTGGTATGGCTGGATCTTGAGGTAGATTGATTCCCAATTTTCTGAGAAACCTCCATACTGATTTCCACAGTGGTTGTACAAGCTTGCACTCCCACCAACAGTGGAGGAGTGTTCCCTTTGCTCCACATCCTTTCCAACATAGATTGTCGCCGGGCGGTGGTGGCGCACGCCTTTAATCCCAGCACTTGGGAGGCAGAGCCAGGCGGATCGCTGTGAGTTGGAGGCCAGCCTGGGCTACCAAGTGAGCTTCAGGAAAGGCGCAAAACTACATAGAGAAACCCTGTCTCGAAAAACCAAAAACCAAAAACAAAAACCAACATAGATTGTCATTAGTGTTATTGATCATGGCCATTCTGACAGGTGTAAGGTGGTATCTCAGAATCATTTTGATTTGCATTTCTCTGATGACTAAGGATGTCGAGCATTTCTTTAAATGTCTTTCAGCCATTTGAGATTCTTCTTTTGAGAATTCTCTGTTTAGCTCTTTAGCCCATTTTTTAAATTGGATTGTTCAGTATTTTGATGTC